CATGTGTCTCATCCAAGGTATTTGGTTGACCCACGAACACAATGGGCACAACCCTCGTTTCCCCAACAACAAACCCAACACACATCAACCTCCCACGAACCCCTCTGACGAAACAGAACCACAAACACCCAACCACAGTCCCCACCACAACACAATTACACCCAAATTCCCCACAACCAACCACAATCACCACCTCAGTACCAATACCCCCATATGTCTCACACCCAACCGCAATTCCAATCACAATACTAACACACCCGTATACCCCACACACAATTTCAGTCTTCTGTATATCCCAATATGGACCCCTCAACATCCAGCCTTAGCCCTAATCTGGGAATGTCGGAAGATTACGAACCAACCAACCCAACTTACCATCAACCACAGTATCACCAAACCACCCAACATCCTCAATACCAAACACCCCAAGATACATTTCCTTTCTACCCCTCGTACTCAGACGATCAATGCTACAGACCCACCATGGAACCCCACCCACCGCCAACATGACCAAACTTTGAGGGTATGGATAACCGACTGTACTAAAGCGGATCTTCTAGATATGGATATCTGACTGATTTTATGGATCTGGAACATATTGACTTCGCTGGGCAATCGACCCTGCCACAGCAGGAAACGCGACGACACCCAGCACGGGAAAGGCGAGGACGGGGATGCGGAACCGGGGGTCATTACCGGGTTCCGAGGGACCACTGATTTATCTGTTTTTTTATCTGTTTTTTTATGTAATACTTATGGGTGTAATCATTTTTTTAATAAAAAGTCAATTTTGTTGATCCTGTATCGAATGCGCAACACACCGGATTGAAAAAAAAACGCGAAATTTGCACTAGAAATACACTAAGGCGTCATCTCACTTGGCTTAGGGCAAGCCCTAAGCACCTAGGCGCCAAGTGAGATGGCGCCTCCCCTTAAATAATGGACGTAGGCGCCAAGTGAGATGGCTCCTCCTTTGGGGAGTCATCTCAAACATGGTTATTTGCGTAATTTTTTCCGAAACGTGGTTATTTGCGAATTTTTTTTAATACATGGTTATTAAAAAAAAAAATTCTCAATTTTCGCTATAATATTTTATGAAAGATTATGTTTCTATCCAAATCATTAATTTCAAGATTTTTCTTGATAATTTTTATTATAGTTTTTTTGGGTCTTCTTCTTTCTTGAATTATTTGTCTTCTCTTCATCTGGTCTACTCTTACTATAGAGTCTACAGGTTTTCTTTTACATGCCCAAACCACATAAGTCTATTTTTCACCATCTTCTCTACAATAGATGTTACTCCAACACTCTCTTTAATAATTTCATTTCTAATTTTATCACACATCCACCGCAACATCCTCATCTCCGCTACACCTACTTTATTCTCGTGTTGGTTCGCATACAAAATCACAAGTTTTACTGCAGTCCGATAAAAATTTTCCTTTAACTTGAGCCGTACTTTTACATCAGATAAAACACCCTAAATAAATTTAACTTAAATTAAATTATATTATGGATTGTCCTATGAAATCCATTTTAAAAGGAATACATCTTTCTATTTCGTTCTTAATATCTAATCTAAGTGTTCTTTATCTAATAATAAAATGGCTTTGTGGGAAAACCTGATAGTTAGGATATCCGCCCTAAGATATGTGATATGTCCTAGGAGATTTTAATTTTGTTTGTGTCGTTAGTGAGAGGGTGAAAGGTGTTGGTTCGTCTAGTAATGCAAGTAAGGCGTTTTCCAATGCCTTTAGTAAATTTCATTGCACATATGGAGTTGGTTGATCGTCTGTTATACTAGGAAGGAAGTTCACTTGCTTCCAGCCCAATAGAGTTGCTGCTAGTAGGTTAGATAAGATTTTTATGTCTGATGGTTGATGGGATTTTTGGAGTGTGGCTACCCAGAAGAATTTGCCTAGAGACGTCTCAGATTATTGTTTGGTCTTTCTTAAGTATTCCAACCAATTATAAAATTCTAAACCTATTAGATTCAATAATCATTGACTTGTTCATGGTGACTTTTTAAGAGTTAGTTCATTCTAGTTAGAAAAATTCCATATCTTCCTATTGAAAAACTTGTCTTAAATTCTCTTAAAAATAGTGGTGAAAGATCTTACAACACTTGATCTCACTATATTATTTGGTAAGTTTGAAGAACATGAGCAAAAACTTACTTGCTTAGACAAACATGAGTAAAAACTTGAAAAGAAGAAGAAAAAGGAGAAAGTCACGAATAAGAAGGAAAGAATGAAGTCTCAAGTTCTAAGGACTTTTTGTTTAAGGTTCTCAAAAGATGAGCACATTGATAGTGATTCTAGTGATGGTAAAGGTTTAAATAGTTGATATGATTGCAAGAAAGACCACACTATTGAAAATTTCAAATTTAAGAGTTTTATTTGTTTCTAAAGGTGTTTTTCAATGGTTTTTCAAATGCAACGAATTTTTCACTAACCCCCAAGGACCCAATAAAGCTTGGGTATCTAGCATGTCTTGTTGATTTTGTAGGAAAATTATTTTGACTCTATGAAAAAAAATATGGATTCTCATTTATGGTGGCTCAAGGTATATGATAGGTAACATATTCTAATCCAATTGTATATGTGGCAAGAAGATGGATTATGTGATCTAAAAATTAACAACAAGTATTGTTTAATTGGTAAAAGATACATAAATTATTTTTAATGTTGTATCCGAGAATACTCAGAAAAGGTATTTCATTTCATGATGGAGGTGTATCTTCAAAAGACATACTCAATAACGTCGAAAAAGGAATTGATCAACCCGAATCGGTGAAACACGAGGAGGAGAAAGATAAATATCATGAAAAGGATAAAGATGAAATTTCAATCAAAATGAATGATCATCAAATCAATTACCTTCTTTGATTCATCACAAGTTATACTTTTGGGTACTTTGTCAAAGTGAAAAGTGGTAAGATCGTGGTTTTCTAAAGTCTTTGTGGTATACTTTACATTTGGTTCAACTTTCTTTCGAGAGTTCCTTGTGAAATGCAAGTGCATCCTCCGTCATATTGTACGGTGAGGTAGTATCGATTCAATTTTCGTTTTGTTAGTAAGTTCTCTCTTTTACTCTTTTTTTTTCTAAGTACATGACATACTTGGTGTATGATATATACATTATGAGTATTTATTTGTAAAATAATTCTTAATTGATAATCATGGTGACTTATTAATTTATATGCTTGAAAAGACCTCATCATATTATATTTTCATGTATTTCATACTATAAACACTTATGTGTAGATAAGCATGTTTAACTTCATTAAACATCAAGCATAACACATTTGACATTATATCATATTTGATTATACTAACATGCAACTTGCAAAAGAGTTCTCTAAGCTTATACAGGGAGAGTTTAAAATGAGTCTTATGGGAGTTTAATTACTTTCACGGACTCAAAATAAAGTAACTCAAGGAAGGAACACATGCGTAGAGAATTACCATCGCGATCATGTTGAAAAAAGGGATGCTGTGTTCGAGCATTTTGATATTGAAAATCAACTTTCTGACATTTTCACAAAAAGTTTGCAACTGAATTGTTTTTCAACAAACATGTGGAATTGAGATTTATCGATATCTCCAATGTTGCTTAATTTCTTTGTTGTTTGTACTTTATACTTTTACTCTAACCTTTTATTTGAGTATTTTATATCATGTGAGTGCAACTTACATTCTATCAAGAGTGAGGTAATATCATTTCAATTTCTCCTTGAAATTAAGACTTTTCTTAATGTATGTTACTTGTTGATTAAAAATTCTTGATATGTTCTCAGATGATGAAAACCATGAATGTTCATTTCCAAAAAAATTGATTGATAACTATTGTGTGTTCTCAATGTATATGTTGATTATGACTTCATATATTAATTCTTTCACATTTGTATAACTTTGTTCTTGTTGTTTAAGCATGTATTTTTATTAAGTTTATTTCGTGCATTCGTGCTTGAGTTAATTGTATGCGTGTTATTTGTAATATATGTTTCTTGTTGTAGTTGGTCACATGTTATGACAAACATTTTCATTTTGGTTTTAATAGTGACATGTGTTTGTCGCTATGATAGGCATGTGTGTGACATCGGGTGTTCCATTGTGATGTGTTACGTAATCATGACGTTATAGAAGAAACTTGACAAATTTGCTCTTGTATCGCATTCATTATTCATCTTGATTGCATTGCATATTTTGTAATGTTGTTTGCTTGTTCTTTATCAATTTCGCAACATTACATATATATATATATATATATATATATATATATATATATATATATATATATATATATATATATATATATATATATATATATATATATATATATATATATATATATATATATATATATATATATATATATATATATATATATATATATATATATATAGGGATATATAATTGTTGTCTTCTACGCAAAAACGTCTCTGAGTGATATATTAGTATTTTTATTGGAATATGATACTTCTCACGTGTCATATCCCAAATTTTCCCTACCCTTATATTATATTTAGGTTTCTTTTTAATTAAATCATAGTTTATAGTTTTTATTTCTATGGGGATGTTTGAAATCAACAAGGGGGTCAAAGTATTAATAAGAGGGAATGTGTTTAGCTTTAAAGCCCATCAAGGTTTATGACTAATCCTCAATAATGAAGGGGTTTACGTTTTTACAGACCCTTTCAGCCGGCTCAATTGTTTTGACAGTAAAAAATAAAGAGGGCTATACCTTTTTTTGTTTGATCAGATAAGCTCACATCATTTTTTTAGAGGACTCATATAGAATATATTTTTGAGAGCCCAGTTGATCTCTTCACCCGATTATTTAAGCAAATTATATTATCATTCTTTCTTTTTTAACAAATAACTTTATTATTATTATTTCATTAATGCTATGTTATTATTATTAATTATTATTACCAGAATTATTATCAAAGTTATTAATATTTTGGTTTTATTAAAATTATGATTATTTATTTTTAAAAAAACGTGGAATTTATTCTAAAGCATTACACAATAACAAATCAAATATATCTAAAAAAATATAGAATCATGTTGTCTATCATGATTGAAATTAATTCTCTTCTCCAAGTTGTTTACAGGTTCAAAACAAAGAAGGAAGAAAAACAAATTGTAGCAACTACGGACCACCCATCTGCGGCGACCTCCGCTCCCGATGAACAACCAAGCCAATATCGATCTGGCCAAGCACATACATTCTACAACCTCCGACCATCGAGTACCGCCGCTCCTGAACCCATGATGCTGCATCCTCCAATCGAGCCCGCACACGTGGCGATACCGCTGCCAAAAAATCATCGGTAACCCCCAATCGCATAACCACCATCATGTACCTCTAATCGAAACTTCCATGAAGATTCGTCAACGAGACCAGCCCACTGCGAATCAGACGTCCAGCGACCGTGATCTCCGTCTCCAACACGCTGGAATCGGGACCCCAGTCACCGTGTATGATGCAACACCACCAACAACTTCACATATCCCTCTCTACCGCGAGCGCCGTTAAGGATCCCATATATATCCTCCTTTATTCTCTTAATTTGAATTTCTGATGATTATTATGTGGATATTATGGACATAATGTTGATTTTCATTTTTGGTGAAGAATCCAAAGTGATAATGGAGAAGAAAGTACAGAGAGAAGCATAGTTTTTCTCTTTTTGATTTCTGCGTAACAGGGAGAGAAAAGAATGTGTTGATGTTATTTCTCTCTCTCCATGTGTAAATATGTGAAATAATAGTTTATTTCTTTTTTATTATTATTTATTCATTATTATTAGTGCCGCGTGTCAGTGAATAACTGGTCTTGAATTATAATCATAAAAAGAGAAGCCTTCATGGAGTTGGACGGTTAGCCCTTGGTTTCTACTGCAGGTTCTTTTCCTCTTTTTATTTACTTTTAATTTTATTAATTCGTAATTTGATTATTAATTCTAAACTAGAATTTTGCAGTAGTTTAAGTTTGGAGTTGGGCTTAAGATTTCTACACTTTTAATGATTAACACACCCTTCTATTAACACTCTTTTATTTTACTACCTTATTTATAATTATACCCCTGCATTTTAATTTAATTTTCTTTTATTATTTTATTATAATTATTATTTTTATATTTTATATTTATATTTTAATAGTATATTTATTCTTTAAGTCGAATTAATTATTTTCAATTCATAAAAAATATTTTTTTATTATTGCATTAAATCGTTCTTTTAATCATGCACAAAAAAATATATTTCACAATATAAGTTAATTTAATATTTTACATCAAAATATTAAAATCTGCGTAATTCACCATATTACTACATTTGCGAGCGACACGTGGCCAATATCTGGCCACGTGAAGAGGAGACTTTATCAGACTCCCTCGCTCTAAGTCTTAATACAACTAACCAACCTCAAATCAATTTTTTTACTAATATAATCAAATTTATATTTATTTTCAAAAAGGGTTGTATTAACATATTTTATCGACTGCGAGTTATATCCATGATTCCGCAATTTACAAACCTAAATTTGGTTCAAAGAGAATTTGAGGTATTTCTACAACCCATAAAAAAACACAAACAAAACTGAGAACTATGAATTGGGACTCTGATTCATCATAAGAGGATACCTAGGCATATAACTAAAATGGTGGTGAGTTTCCCCTATTAAAATTAAAACCCTTTTCCTAATTATACTTAAAAATATTATTTCCTAAGATCGCACTTATAAACCTATTATCCTTGTGAACAAGGTAGATGAGGGGTGCCTAGCACCTTCCCCTCCTCTAGAACCGAGTCTAAATCTAGAATCTCTTAACTTTAGGGTTATTCCTTTATATTTCCTTCCTTTAAGATAAAAATTAAGGGTGACGACTTTCAAATTTCAAACCAGTTACAACAGTTGGGGACACAACTCTAGGTTTAGAAGTCTTATCTTTCGGTTTTAGGGTTTTCTTATTTATTGGGTTTTTATTTCTTGCTTATTTAATTATTAATTTATCTGCTTATTATTTTTATTCATTATCATATTATATCTGTGGTGGGATTTAAAATTTTGCAAAAAAATATTTTTCAAAAAACCTTAGAAAGAAGGTTTGTTTATTAGCCAAGAGGTTACATCACCCCTATGAGTTTATGTGACGAATTTTCCTAGAGTCGGTGGAATTCTGCAAAAGGAATACCTCTCGAGAGACATCCTCTTGGGAAGTAAGACTTTGGAATGACACATATGACTCTTTCTACAGCCTTTAAACAAAAAACTCATGATGAGACTTTTCATGACCTAGAGACAAAAGTTTCAATCTATAAAGGGACTCTACTTAAGGGATGCCCTTATGCCTTTCCCTCTAGTGTTATTCATGATACTATTAAGGAAACCACCTTATGGGGAGGATAGAATGTACGTAGGCCAAAACTAGGAGCCTTCCTTCTAAGGATACCTTTCTCAAATCCCACTATAATCTGTAAACCCACAGGGGTTATGTTTTCTTCCACTACTATCTTTAGCCCGTAGGGCTTCCGTCTATGTCGTAATCCCTATCTTGTAGGGACTCGTCGTCGTCTTTCATTGGCCATAATCTTCAAGGAATTCTTGCATATCTCAATCTCTGAGACAATGTAGGATATCATCAAATCCATGTCTATTATTATCTTCGTCTTTAAGGAGTTTCTGTCTATCTCAATCTCTGAGTCAATGTAGGGTATCATCATGTCTATCATTAAACTTATATAGGGTACCCATATGTCTACCCTCACACTACGTCTATATTGCATTGCATATCCATGAAGCTTTTTGAGTACCTAAAAGCCAAAAAAAAAATTTTTTTTCATACCCAAGTTTTTTTCATACACTTCCATTTTATCCATTTGCATAAAGCTCATATCTTTTCCACTTACAGAAAACTTCCACCCTTATCCAATTGTGATCCAGCTAGCAAGACTCTCGATACTTACAAGAAAACTCAAAGCATGTCTCAAGAAACCATGGAGGAACTCAAAATAGGTCAAGAACTATTGAAGGAGGAGGTCCACCAGTCGAAGACTCAAATGAACTTGATCATGCAATTATTAATGAGGAGCGAAGGTAACCCTTCGTCATCCTAGCCGCAGGCTTATTCAATGCCACAGATGCTACCACCATCAAAAGTTCCCTCATCTCAATAGAAACAACCCTATCAAATTAAGGGATATGCCCAACAAAAAGGAAGACAAAAACTACCACCAAAAAGATTTGATCCACTTCCCTTACCGCACAGTCAACTATTACAATATTTACTCAAGGAATCTTTGGTAGAGCAGAAGTTACTGAATCCTACGAATGGGACACTCTCGCCTAAGTATGATGCAAGTGCTAGGTGCGAGTATCATGCCAACTCTCCAAGACATACCCTTGAAAGATGTTGGAGTTTCAGACACAAGGTCCAAGATTTTATCGATAATAAGCAGCTGACTTTCAAAGAAGGGATCCCATTGGTGAACGATCGCCCTTTGCTCTGATAAATCCAAATACTAAGGAGAATTCCCTAAAGTCAGTGGATCAACAAGGGGGCTTATCTCTAGATCATTGGGACTTTATTATTTCAATTTGTGATTTCCTAGTTGTTAATTTTCATTCGCTATAAATTTGTATCTTTGGATCAATAATTCTAATAAAATAATCATGCATATTTTTGAAATTGATCCATTCCACAAATAATCAACGACTTTCTATTCTTCTTTTCCATCTTCCATTGCATAACTTTAACAAACTTTAAGGGAGAATGATGAAAATACAAAATAATCGAATTTTTGCTGACGTGTGCTTTTTAATAGTAAGGCTTAGCTAACGATGTAAGGCATTGTTTCACTTCCCAAACAGTGGAGATATAAGGAGATAATCTGTAGTTAACCCCCTCGAGCCAGAAGTCGGAGTTCTTTCTATTTTCTAAAAAAAACCTTAATCTTAACCAAGGGCAGGGTAGTCTTTCAATTAATTCAATGACGCATTCTATTCTCAAGAGAAGGGATTTATCTAAATAAACGGTTCAAGCATATACCTTTCCTCGATACATCATTGAGGAAACGATCTAAACAAAGGTTCGAGCGCATCCTTTTCCTAGCGTTCATAATTCAAGATTGGTGAATCAACAAAGGAAAAGTCCACGACGTCTTCTTCCTTAGTACATCAATCAAGATCGAGGAAACAATGAAGACGAAGCTTACAACAATCAGCATGGCAGCCACAAATTTTCAAAATAAAAAACAAAAAAATTCAAAAAAAAGGAAACTAAAAAAAAAGCTCGTTAAGTCAAAGGAAATCAAAAAACTTGACTTAGGAAAAAATTAGGGCATCCCGATGGACCGCAAAATTCAAAAGAATTGGTCCATGCAAAATGAGGGATTAAAAAGAAAAAATTGGAGAACAATCTTGTGAATGCCACCTCAAAAATAATAAAGGATTCTCATCAAATCTTGGATCTTATCAATGCTTGGATCCTATCAATTCTTTTCATTGGTGCTTGGATCTTTATCTGCGTTTCTCATCATCTGCACAAATACGAAATTTCTCTTGGGGATTAAACACATTTATTACATTAATTGAAATTAGGACTGGAGAACATCAAGGATAATGGGGTGGGATAAATAAATTTTGAGCCTTATATCTTTTGTTTCTTAAACCATGAACCATGGCCACGTTACAACCTTCGAAAGTCCTAAATGAAGCTAGGTTCACTATGAAAGCATACTCAGCACGATTTGTGTTAAACTGACTTCAATGTTTGTTAAAATTATTAATCACTTCGCTTCTTCAAATATCTATTCCTAATCATCCATTTCTTTTCAATAATCAAATTCGGATTTCAAGAACTTGCATGTGCATCAAACAGAATTAATTTTTCAAAATGTACAATTTTATCTATGAATCAATACTTAGCATCAAGGAGATTTCAAAACAGGGTCTGATCAAAGGCAACATTTCTAAGAAGCTTCTAAATGGGGGAAAAGCATATAAGTAAGAACCCTATAAATAGGGGGAAATACTAATGATCGTAGGGGTATATCACACGAAGGTACTATTGACAAGGGGTGATCATTCTGAAATTCAATCAACTCGGATCAAATTTCAAAGCACTATTCAATCAGGGGCATACTTTTCGAAGGAGCATTTCCTTAATCAGGTCATATCACAACAGGGTATGACTTAGTTTCCTCGTTTTAACAAACCTCTCAAGGCCTTGATAATCAGGGGCAACCTACCAGGATTCAAATGTTAGGGCAGTACGTACCAAGTTCATCCTACTGCATGTAGGGTCCAAATTCCCCTTCAAGCAACTTCAAGT